CAAGCGCGTATGTGTGCACACTCACACGGCATAGCACACACACACACAGCGCCAAGCGAGACGACGTAGGAGTACAAAAGAACACGCGCAAAACTCAGGTGTCTGCTGCCCTCAGCGGTTTAGAGGCAGTAGAGCCGTTATTGCTACTACTACTGCGACTACTGTTGTCATTTCTTTTTCAAGGGCGCTCCCCGAATGCCCTCTGTGTCCTCATCTGGTCCATCATCTCAACTCCCCCGCCCCCTGCTCCTAACTTGCATTTGTGATTAAAGTCTAATGTGTACTCTCCCCGGCGACCCGATAACCTCGCCCTGTCGCATTGGTGAACGGCGGGAAATAATGCTTAATGAGGACTGCTCTCTTTCACCAACCTCCGGCAGTACTTCTGCCTCTAACACCCTTCTGCGTCAACTGCTTGCGGGCGTAGATCCCGAGAGTGTCCGCGGCTACAGCGAACTAATGAACTCCAAATTCGGTTTGCGCCGCTCCTCCTCTGTGAGCGTCAGCTCGCGCCATCGGTTCCGACGAAACAACCCTGGTGGCGTTGAGATGAGGCCACGCGGGGCAACAATGTACAGCCAATCCTCCCTCTCCAGACGTTCTTTCCCCAGTCCCAAACATGAGGCCACCGGTGCTAAACGATCCAAGCATTCTGTTGATTCGTCGGCCCCAACGGTGCCAGAAGAAGGAGAAGATGTTGTTCCACTAACCATAAAGATTGAAGCCACCGATCCTTCTGAAGACAGTCCTTCTTCAGAGCAATATAATAAAACAAATCCACCACCCTGGAAATCGAAAGAGGCGAACAGTCCAAAACAAGCAACTACGGATTATACCACCACGAATTCCTCGGTTGCTGCCAGTGCCTCGGACATTGCCTCTATTCCCCAACTCCGACCGCCTATGCGGCCACGAGCACACACAGCTTCGGAGATGGAAAATGTTCTCAAAGCCTGTACCGAAAAGTTCTACCACCGTGATGAGTTGACGCGTATTTTAGAGTTATGTGTCCGTGGCGG